ACTTATTTGCATAGGCCACACACCCCTGACATCACCGGAAGTGTGTCAGAAGGCAACACCCACTGCTCAGGCTCCACTGGACTGTTTTGGATTGCTAGCTATTGGGGGGGGGGACGCGCAGATCTGTCCTCACAGAGGAGGGAGAGCTTTTACCTGAATATAACTTGGTCTTAAAGGTGCCACTGGACCGTTTTGGACCAGGGGGCCGGGGGGAGCTCTGCAACTTACCTGGCTGCTTCTTGCTCTGACTGAGGGCTGCTGGGAGCAGGGGGTGGGGCTTGTTGCATGTGCCCGCCCCCTGGGTTCTTTACTGCCGGAGCTCTGCTCCTGTGCGCTCCTGCAGGAAATGACTTCTGCCAGGAGTGAAATTCAGCCTTAGGAACTGGGTGGAATATGGCTGATCATAGCCATTGGCTTCTTCACCCAGTACTGCCTGTTTGAAGGCAGAGGAGCTGGGAAGATGGCTGACCTTCAGTAGGTGAGGAGGAGGAACAGCCAGGGCTATTCTTGGGCAGGAACGCACAGGAACGGCGTTCCGGCTGGCTTCAGAGTTGGCCACCCCCACTACAGGCAAAACCTCTGTGTGATTGGCTACAGAGGGAAGGCCTGGAGAGCGAACCCCCCCAGCAACTCTGAGGTGGGTGGGCCACAGGGGGGCCTGGAAGGATCAAGGAGGCATTTAAATGCCTCCCTGTGCCTTCCCCGGCCTGTCCAACAACTGGCTTGCTCGGGCACCCAGGCAAGCCGAGGGAAGGCATGGAGGTGTGGCCCAATATGCTGATGAGCTGTGCTGTCATGGGTGTGGCCTAATATGCTAATGACTTCCTGCTGTTGGGTGTGGCCTATTATGCTCATGAGTTCCTGGGAACAGCTACTGCTACGAGAAGGGTTGGTGTCTTGGTGGGGGGGGGGCAGATCCCATGACCATTCCTTATCTGAACATTCTTCCCTAGGCGGTTTTGGAGGGCAGATGTAATAGACTATCATTCTCTAATAAAACATGCAGATATTTATGTGATACAATTGAAATGATCAAACAAATGATTATGGAGTGCCCTATTTTCAACGAGTTGGGGGCTAATTTAGTCATCCCTTTACTTAAAGATACTTGGAGCTGCGGTGGCTCAAGTGGTCAAGACGCTGAACTGCAGGCTGTGGAAGGTCGGTAGTTCAGCAGTTCCAGACCCGAGTGTGCCGCATGACGGAGTGAGCTCCCGTCTCTCGTTCCAGCTCCTGCCAACCTAGCAGTTCGAAAGCAAGAAATTGCAAGTAGATTAATAGGTACCACTTCGGTGGGAAGGGAACAGCGTTCCGTGCGCCTTGGTGTTTAGTCATGCCGGCCACATGACCACGGAAAACGTCTTCGGACAGCGCTGGCTCTTCGGTTTTGAAACGGAGATGAGCACTGCAACCTTAGAGTCGGATTCGACTGGCTTTCGAGCAAGGGAACCTTTACCTTTACCTTACTTAAAGATACAGAATTGCTCAGTGTGCGAGCCCAGGTGTCGTGGCTACTTTCGGATGCAAACGATCGTGTCACCCTCTCAGTGGCAAAATTCATAGGTGCCATAATCAAATAGAAGAGAAATAATACCAAGTTTGGTCTTTTAAAATATGTTTTGGTTCCAATTTCTGCTTAAGACGGCAGCCACAAGAGAGCAGTACTAGATAGATAGATAAACGGTTCCTTCTCCAGCTCTCATTTTTGAAGGGGAACTATACAAGGCATCTTCTCCAAGTGCCCCACTGTCAGAATTGGCTCAACGAATCTCCCACCCTCTTATTCTGAGGAATACACTTCCCAGTCCGGAGATTCCTTGCCGTTCTTTACAACGAGATCATTTCAGGACTGTGAGAGCTCTCTCAGCCCCACCCACCTCGCAGGGTGTCTGTTGTGGGGAGGGGAAGGGAAAGGAGCTTGTAAGCCGCTCTGAGACGCCGAGTGAAGGGCGGGGTACAGATCCAATCTCCTCTTCTTCTTTCTCCTCCTCCTCCTTCCTGGTGAGTGAACACAGGGACTGGACATCTTGCAAGGGCTAGTAACATGCATTGAGAGTGCGCCAGGTCACCCCGACCTGGATAGCCCAGGCAAGCCCGATCTTGTCAGATCTCAGAAGCGAAGCAGGGCCAACCCTGGCAAGTACTTCGATGGGAGACCTCCAAGGAATTACCAGGGCCGGGAGACAGAGGCAAGCTGTATCAAGCCACTTTTCTGACCGTCCAAGCCCCACTAGGGGTCTCCAGAAGTCAACCATGGCTTCCAGGCATCCATGTACACACACGCACACACACACAATACCAAGAAAAGAGAGTGTGCAAGGTCACATCTGCAGCAGTGTTCCCTCTAAGCTGAGCTAGTGTGAGCCAGCTCACAGTTTTGTAGCCTCCAGCTCACAGATTTCTGTCTTAGCTCAGGGAGGATGGGGCTCCAGACCAAACCAATTTATGCAGCAGCCAAATGGCTCGCTCACAACTTTAATCCCAGTAGCTCACAAAGTTGAATTTTTGCTTCCAAGACTCCACAGCTTAGAGGGAACATTGATCTGCAGTACATCACTTAACTGTTTACCATGCGGCCAGTTCTTTACAGCGCCAATACCTCTGTCTTCAAGCTGGAAAGCATTTAGAGCGCCAGACGGTTTAATTGACGGGAGCATATCCAGCAGGGATTTGTGGAGTCAGCCAGAAATAAATTTACTTAAGGTCAGCAGAAAAACTACAGCAGACAGGGTGATGGGTAGCCTGACCCTCTAAGTAGAGTGTTAAAGAGAAGTATTAATCAGACTTGGCATGTCCTGAAGGATATAGCTGTTTGGGAGGAGAAAATACTAGTTGCTTCCTTACAAAACAATAAAGAATATTAAGGAACGCCTGGCCCACAGCAATATGCTCTCAGATATACAGTAAGGATAGCAAGCCTTACAAACAAAGATGCCATGGGAATGTTCCTTGGGAATGATGTATTGCAAACAAGCTGTTAGAAAAATGTGTGTGTTTGGTAGTTGAATGGGTGACGGGTCATTTCGTAGAAAAAGAGGTGCAGGAGCTCATTAGCACAACTCATTAGCGTAACTTATTTGCATATGCCACACCCCCTGACATCACCGGAAGTGTGTCAGAAGGCAACACCCACCACTCAGGCTCCACTGGACTGTTTTGGATCACTAGCTATTGGAGGGGGGGGGTAACATGCAGATCTGTGCTTCTGGCTCTGACTGAGGGCCACTGGGAGCAGGGGGTGGGGCTTGTTGCATGTGCCCGCCCCCTGGGCTCTTTACTGCCGGAGCTTTGCTCCCGTGCACTCCAGCAGGAAATGACCCCTGGGTGACAAAGAGGTTTCCTCAGGAGTGTCAAAGCGTGCCCCAAAGCCGACCTAATTCATGTAACTTATTTTGAACTGAGGGCCAGTAGGGAAGCCATCTTGGTTCCACCCGCTCTTCTTCTCTCCTGTGAACTGAGACACACCCCTCGTCTCCATCGGGAATAGAAACCATGTCGGTTCACATTGCTGGGTTTCTGGTTTTCAGAAGGTAACCTATTTTGGATACGGGATTAAGTTTTTTAAATGTTACGATTCATTCAAAATGGTTTTTTATAATTGCCTCTGATAAAGACTTGCATTGTACTTGAGCAGCCAGATTTCGAGACCAGTAGCTCCGTAGAGACCGACAAGGGTTCCGGACTACAAAAGCGACCCCGAAATTCTCGTCCGTCTCTGAGGCACCACTGGCCTTGAATCTGGCTGTTCTTCCGCAGGCAAACATGGCTGCCCTCTGAAAGTATTATCCTTGAGATGGAAAAGAAGAGATTGGATTTACACCCCTTCCATCGATACCCAAAGGAGTCTCAGAGCGCCTTACAAACTCCTTTACCTTCCCCTCCCCACAACAGACACCCTGTGAGGCGGGTGGGACTGAGAGAACTCTTGACAGAAACTGCTCTTTTTCAAGAACAGCTCTGACAGAAGTGCGGTTTGCCCAAGGTCACACCAGCATGTGCAAGTGGAGGAGTGGGGGAATTAAACCCGGTTCTCCCAGATTAGAGTCCGCACATTTAACCACTACACCAAACTGATGTGTCACAGTGGAGTGGCGGGGGCAAAATGTGGGGGAAGGCGCCGCTGTGTGATGCATCGATGCCACTCTCCCCATGCCCCCCCCCAAAGCTCCTGCTGTCAGGGCTATTTTTGGGCAGGAACACACAGGAACGGAGTTCTGGCTGGCTCCCGAGTTGGCCACACCCAGCAGGAACCCATTAGCATAATAGGCCACACCCAACAGCAGGAACTCATTAGGATTGGCTACATTAGGGGTGTGTGGCCTAACATGCAAAGGAGTTCCTGCTACAAAAAAAGGTCCTGGGTTTTGACCACAAACAAGGTAAACAGAACAACATGCAAAAGGTGGGTGTGGCTGGATGACCACACTTCTGGTAACATGGGGGTGTGGCCTAATAGGCTAATGTGCTGTGCTGGCAGGGTGTGGCCTACTATGCTAATGAGTTCTTGCTTGGCTTTTTCTACAAAAAAAAGCCCTGCCTGCCGTGGCAACCCAGCAAGGAGGCCTCTCAGTATCTTTCCAGGTCTTGGCTGGATACTTTTGTGAGCTGACCAGTCCCACACGAATAATAAGCAATGTAGTTAAGTCAAAAAGTGTTCTGAAAGGAAGAGTCCGATGCTGCCAACGGGATGCAGTGAGCAGATCATTAATGTTCAGTTTTCCAGATGACTGAGTGAAGGTAATTAGGTTTTGGTGGAAACGGGGAGCTCAATGGCCACGCTGGAGCTGCACGCCACAGCTGCTTCCCCATTAATATGTGTTTCAGGATCGTGTCCGCAAAAGGTGTGTTGGGATACATATAAATGCTACGAGCAAGCGGCCTTGCAGTTAACTTCTACACTAAGAATGTCCGGTCTCTCTACACATTTTGCGCAGCGTGAGAGAGTGTTCTCTCTTAGCACACTTCCTGAATAACCCTTTTGTTTTTCTCCGCCCATCTAGGCAACAGTTACCAAGGTCACAGCAATTTCGATTTTCCGCACGGGAATCCCGGTGGAACGTCTATGAACGACTTCATGCACGGCCCTCAGCTGTCGCACCCTCCCGACATGCCCAGTAGCATGGCAGCCCTCGAAAAGCCCCTAAGTCACCCCATGCAAGACCCCGTAAGTTGGACTGCATCTCGGTTTTGTCTTCATTTCCCCCCCCAAACGACGTATCTTTCACTTTCTGACTGGCGGTATTGCAGCACCATTGTAGGTGAGAATATTACTCGATTACAAACTAGTTTATAACATCACCAACAATGGATTTAGGAAGAAATGGTTTTTAACACCCTGCATTTGGATAGGATTGCTCCTGCTTCTGCCAAGTTATCAGACCAGTGCAAGGTGAAGAATAGTCACGCGGAGGCTGGGCAGAACCGCGAAAAGTGGTTTGCATGCCATTACTATTAGCAAAATAGAATAAAATTGACAAAAACATTGGTCAACAGGTATCAATTCTCCTGTCTTACAGTTTTCCGCACGGGAATCCCGGTGGAACTTCTATGAACGACTTCATGCACGGCCCTCAGCTGTCGCACCCTCCCGACATGCCCAGTAGCATGGCAGCCCTCGAAAAGCCCCTCAGTCACCCCATGCAAGACCCCGTAAGTTAAACTGCATCTCAGTCTTGTCTTCATCCCCCCCCCCCCAAACGACGTATCTTTCATTTTCTGACTGGCGGTATTGCAGCACCATTGTAGGTGAGAATATTACTCGATTACAAACTAGTTTATAACATCACCAACAATGGATTTAGGAAGAAATGGTTTTTAACACCCTGCATTTGGATAGGATTGCTCCTGCTTCTGCCAAGTTATCAGACCAGTGCAAGGTGGAGAATAGTCACGCGAAGGCCGGGCAGAACCATGAAAAGTGGTTTGCATGCCATTACTATTAGCAAAATAGAATAAAAATTGACAAAAACATTGGTCAATAGGTATCAATTCTCCTATCTTACAAACATTAACTTGCATTGGTTACAAAATAACAAAACACTGTTCCTTCACACACCATTTAAAACAATGCAGCACTTGAACATATAACAAGAAGATTGTCCAAAATACGTTCACAGAGTGGTGAGTGTTATCATTAAGACCAGATTGCTCGGACAATTGAAGATGACCTGACAAGCGTTCTGGTATAGCATGTATACAAATGGTACAGTAATGGCACACAAACCCATCTACATGGTTCTGCTCTTTTGTCTTTAAGCTCTCATTCAGACCGCGGTCCCTGTGCATATCTATCATGGCACGTAGGCAGTAGCATCTGCAAAGTTCCATCCCTGGCATCTCCAGCTAAAGGGGATGTGAAAGTCCTTTCCTTGAGATCCTGGAGAGCGTCCACCAGTCTGAGTAGAGAATGCCAACCTTGATGGTTTGATTCAGCTTCAGACAGCTCCATTCGGTATATACGATGTGTCCGCATCAGACAGCAAGTCTAATATGAAGAACACAAGAGAAGCCAATGTTGGATCAAGCCAATGGCCCATCCAGTCCAACACTCTGTCACACAGTGGCCAAAAATACCAGGTGCCCTCAGGAGGTCCAGCAGTGGGGCCAGGACACTAGAAGCCCTCCCACTGTTGACCCCCCAAGCACCAAGAAGACAGAGCATCACTTGGCCCAGACCGAGAGTTCCTATCTATACCTTGTGGTATAGCTGCTGATGGACCTCTGCTCCATATAAGAACATAAGAGAAGCCCATGTTGGATCAGGCCAATGGCCCATCCAGTCCAACACTCTGTGTCACACAGTGGCCAGAAATACCAGGTGCCATCAGGAGGTCCAGCAGTGGGGCCAGGACACTAGGAGCCCTCCCACTGTTGCCCCCCCCAAGCACCAAGAAGACAGCGCATCCCTTGCCCCAGACCGAGAGTTCCTATCTATACCTTGTGGGTAATAGCCGCTGATGGACCTCTGCTCCATATAAGAACATAAGAGAAGCCCATGTTGGATCAGGCCAATGGCCCATCCAGTCCAACACTCTGTGTCACACAGTGGCCAGAAATACCAGGTGCCCTCAGAAGGTGGTGCCTTCAGGTGGTTCACCAGTGGTGCCAGGACACTAGGAGCCCTCCCACTGTTGCCCCCCCCAAGCACCAAGAAGACAGCACATCCCTTGCCCCAGACCGAGAGTTCCTATCTATACCTTGTGGCTAATAGCCGCTGATGGACCATTGCTCCGTATAAGAACATAAGAGAACCCCATGTTGGATCAGGCCAATGGCCCATCCAGTCCAACACTCTGTGTCACACAGTGGCCACTGATGGACCTCTGCTCCGTATGTTGATCCAATTCCCCCTTGAAGCCGTCCATGCTTCCCGTGGCAGTGAATTCCCTATCATGTGGCCTGGTTTGGCCTACCATTATGGCTGGGTTTCTTCATTGGCTCTGGCTGGTTGATGTGTAAGGGTTCATCTGTGGCCTGCTTTGTCGGTGGTACACAAGTTGGGTCTCTTCACAATGTGTCTCAAGCTGTGGGCTGAGGCCTCGCTTGCGTGCTCAGGCCTTGTAGGAAAACATAAACCGCAGAAAGGTTCATCACGTCCCGGTACTGAAGTGCCGCTGCTGTCCATTTCCGATTTGCGTGCAGAAAACGCAGTGCAACAACAGTCAGAAGCCAAGACACACACTTGACGTTTGTTTGACACTGAGTTTCTCCTTGATTGGTAAAATTGGGGAAACCCCATTTGTTGAGAGATTACCACCTCCTAAGCAAAGGAGATGTATTTGTCATCTGTCATCTTGGTGCTTGGGGGGGGGTCAACAGTGGGAGGGCTTCTAATGTCCTGGCCCCACTGGTGGACCTCCTGAGGGCACCTGGTATTTCTGGCCACTGTGTGATACAGAGTGTTGGACTAGATGGGCCAGTGGCCTGATCCAACATTGGCTTCTCTTATGTTCTTATTTCCACTTTGCCGTTCAATCCCCTATACCGTTAACAAGTATCACGGCTGAGTCCGAGTCCAGTAGCAACTGAGAAACCAACAAGATGTTCAGGGGGATAGGCTTTTGAGAGTCAAAGCCACTGGTGAAGGGAGCTTTGAGTCTTGTAAGCTCACAGTCTGAAAATATTGTTGGTCTCTAGGGTTGCCAAGTCGTACCTTTGGAATAGCAGGGGGACTCCCAGACGTCCCCTGGAGTTTCCTGGTGTCCGTGCAAAGCGTGTGCACCGTGATCACGTCACCCGGAAGTGACGTAATCATGTCGGGCACGTTGGGGGTGGGGCCACAATCATTCGAGGGGAAACCATGGAGTTTTCCCTAGGATGATGGAGCATCCCCCTGCAACATGCCCAACGCGATTACGTCGCCTCTGGGTGACGTGTTCACGCCGGGTACATCATGCGCTTTGGGGGTGGGGTCCCCCTCTCAGGCGGGGGTTTCCCCACACCCCGGGGGGACTCGGCAACCCTATTGGTCTCTAAGAAGCTACTGGATTTGAAAGTAGTTGTTCGATTGCAGACCAACGTGGCTACCCACTGAAAATGTCACATGTAGTAGTGGCGATTGTTTCCTCTTCAAGGTCTCTTCTCTAGCAGAGCTTGTTCAGAGTGCGAGAGAGAGAGACTGGACAATCAGAAGCCGGAGGAAGAGGTGGGGAAGCCCTCAGAAGGTCGGAAAGGTTCATCAGGATTTTGCATAGACCGTCTGTCTGTAGTACGCGGGCTATAACGCTGTTACGCCACCTTTGCAATAAAATGTTATTTGTTAAGATTTTTCTGCTTTGCAGACGGCTGGGATCCGTATGAGTATGATCAGCACAACAAATAAAGGGGGTTGCAGTATGACATAAACCAACACAATAGAACCACTGCAAATAGTGCAAAGCAACTGAGGAGCCAGGCAACAAACCCCTCCGGGCGCCATATTTGCCCGGGGGCAGCTGTTTGCTGATCATACTCAGCACAATAGAACTACTGCAAATAGTGCAAATCATGCAAATTCTAATTAGAATTTGCATGATTTGCACTATTTGCAGTAGTTCTATTGTGCTGAGTATGATCAGCAAACAGCTGCCCCCGGGCAAATATGGCGCCCGGAGGGGTTTGTTGCCTGGCTCCTCAGTTGCTTAACCCGCTGAGGAGGACAATCGTTGGTTTTTTAAAAAATGTTCACATATTCCTATTTCATTTGCCAGTTTAACCTCGGGATACTCCTGCGCCGTTTGTTTGTTTTCACACGGCACCGAAGGGACACCGCAGGGTGGTGGTGCAAGTGACGGAAACGCTTGTGGCAAATTCGGCTCAACGGGACCTCTCCCCCCCCTCTCCCGAGGGGTTTTAAAAGTGTGTCTGTTGCCTGGTTGACGAACTCCATTGATCGAAAAGCCCGCAAACCGGCTCCCCTGCATACTTTTATCTCTGGTGGCCGATGACCATCCATGTGGGCGCTTTTTGCAGTTTCACTTCACGATGGCTTGTTGAGTCGTTCACAGCAAAGCGTTTTGATTTGTATTGCCTCCCGCCGCCACACGCCGGCTCTTTTCCTCATTCTTCCTTTCCTGCTTCTTTTCCTCCTCCGCAGATCCCTCATCCTGGCAGCACCGACCAGTCCCATAGTTCCATGCAGCAAGGTTTGCACGTACCTCATCCCAGCAGCCAGTCAGGGCAGCCATTACATCACAGCGGTCCGCCTACCCAGCAGAGCCGGCAGCCGCCACCGGCCGCTTCTAGCAACCATCCCCACAATGACCTGGCCTTTAACCCCTCCTCCGCCTTAGAGGGCCAGGCCGGTGGGCAGGGCGCGTCCGACATGCCGGAGCCTTCGCTGGATGTAAGTTGGGGTCATTCGGTCCGTCGTATGCCCTTTCTGAAAGAGGTGGGAGAGGGGTCTTCTCCGGCAGCTCCCTCGTGATTCGGGGCATGGCTGGCATCGAAATCACTGGAGCCGACAAGAAAGAACTCTGCCTCACCCAGGAAAGACTCTCTGTCGGAAGGAGCACTATGTTGGATCGAGGGTGTCTTAAGGGAGGACATGGGAGGGGGTTCCAGGCCGGAGAGGGGGGGCGCTTTGAGCATTTTTCACTCAGTCGTTACTTATCAATATCAGTAGGGCTCTTTTTGTAGAAAAAGCCCAGCAGGAACTCATTAGCATAATAGGTCACACCCAACAGCAGGAGCTCATTAGCATATTATGCCACACCCCTGACAGCACAGCTCATTGGCACATTAGGCCGCAGCCCCATGTTACCAGAAGTGTGCTCATCCAGCCACACCCACCTTTCCCTTCTTATTCTGTTTACCTTGTTTGTGGTCAAAACCCAGGACTTTTTTTACAGCAGGAACTCCTTTGCATGTTAGGCCACACACCCCTAACGTAGCCAATCCTAATGAGTTTCTGCTGCTGGGTGTGGCCTGTTATGCTAATGAGTTCCTGCTGGCCAACTTGGGAGCCAGCCGGAACTCCGTTCCTGTGTGTTCCTGCCCAAAAATAGCCCTGTCGGTAGAGCAATCCCGAGTTTTTTGCCTGGCGCTTTACAAAGGAACATGTTTTGTTTGTTTGTTTGTTTTTTAAGGGAAAGAATCTCCATTCTAGTTTGGGAGCACCGGGGGAGACAGAGGAAGTGGGGGAAAGAGAAGAAATATTTGATTATTTATTTCCACGTTGTCTTTCCACCTGATCAGCCTTATGACTTCTGTAGGCCCTAGACATTTTTGCCTTCGTGGGCCCCTCCCACCATCACAAAATCAATATTAAAAATCATTTGTGACATAACTTTAAAGACTTCAACGTTTCATTTGCCCCTGTTTTAGGCAAAATGCCCTGGATCTTCATGGGCCCTAAAATTTTATATATTTTTTCTGATGTGAGACAAAAAATAAAACAGTTTCTGTGACCCTAAAAGTTCTTTTTTCCCCTCTCTCTTCTAATTTTAAAAGGAATTAAAACATTTTCATGGGGCCCTAAAAGTATTGTGGGCCCTCGGCACTGTGTTTACGGTGCCTAATGGATAGGGAAGCCCTGCCGATCGGGGTCCCCAAGGTAGGGTTGCCAAAACCCCGGGTTTGCCAGGGGTCCCCCGTTTGGGGGGGGGTTCTACCCATCTGGCCGGCGGGGGAAGCCCCGCCCCCAACACCCACAGCCACCCCTCTCTCTCCCTTTAAGTGTGTGGAACCCGTGTTTCCTCCCAAGCCCGATCTCCGCAAGCTTGCAGGGAAATGCCAGCTTCGTGCTCTTAAAAGGGAAACGTGGCTGCTCTTAAAGGGGAAACGCCAGCTCCTGCATTTAAAAGGGAAACACCGGCTCCTTTAAGTGCAGGGAACTGCCGTTTCTGGAGATCTGGCACACAGGCGGGGGGGGACGTCCTTAACGTGACGTCATCACAGCGGGGATGCCCCGCCCTGCCCCCTCCAGGAACGCCCCCAAAGTCCCCCGCTAGGGGTGGAAGATGGACTTGGCAACCCTACCCCAAGGGGATGCACCTTAAAAAAGTTAAAACGTTTGAACAGTTCAAAACGACATTTAACATTATAAAATAATTAATTACAAACAGAAATGAACAATACAAGAATCAGGGTGGAGGGCCAGTAACGGTTACTGAAGGCATGCCAATCCAACAAAAATGTCTTTACCCGCTGGTGGAAGACACTGATAAAGTGAGACTAACAAATCTTCCTGGAGACCACTGTTCCCTCTAAGCTGAGTTAGTGTGAGCTAGCTCACAGTTTTTCAGCCTCCAGCTCACACATTTTTGCCTTCGCTCGGGAAGGATGGCTCCAGAGCAAAGTAATATATGCAGTAGCCAAATCGCTCGCTCACAACTTTAATGCCAGTAGCTCACAAAGTAGAATTTTTGCTCACAAGACTCCACAGCTTAGAGGGAGCATTGGTGGAGACAGTTCCAAAGCCACCTGCCTGGCCTCGGATGGTGAAGACAGCCAAAGCAGGTCCTCTGAGGCTGACGGGACTGAAAAGGTCCTTCAGGGACGTTGGTCCCAGGCCACACGGGCCTTGACAGGTCACCGCCCGCACCTCGAATGGGGCCTGGAAGCAACCTGGAAACCCGTGCAGGTAGAACAAGACTGGGGTGATACAGTCAGTATGACCAGGGCTTTTTTGGTAGAAAAAGCTCAGCAGGAACTCATTAGCATAATAGACCACGCCCCTGACAGCGCAGGGGAGCCCAGGCAAGCTGGCCCTTGGACAGGCCGGGAGAGGCATTTAAACGCCTCCCCGATCCTTCCAGTGCCCCCCCGGCCCGCTCACCTCAGAGTCGCTGGGGGGGTGTCACTCTCCAGGCCTTCCCTCTGTAGCCAATCACGCAGAGGTTTTGGCTGTAGTGGGCGTGGCCAGCTCTGAAGCCAGCCAGAACTCCGTTCCTGCCCCAAAATAGCCCTGAGTATGACCCATTCCATGAGCGCAAGGGAGACTGAAGAGGGATGGGAACAGACAAGGACAATGAGGGATGATTTATTAATATGTGTGTATACGCACGTGCACACATGTGAATAAGCACGCACTCACACCCATTATTTCGCAAGTGTCATCATTCAAAGTACAGTGGGTGAGAGGGAGCCCAGAGAGAGGATTTCAGCTGCCGTAAGGGGGCGGTTGTTTCCATCAGTTCCTCCCCTCCTGATCCCCCTTCACGCTGTTCCGGGGGTATCTCATCCCCAAGAGCAGTCTTTCTGGGAGCAGCTTCTTTTGTTGCAGAGGTGAGAAAGTTGCTCTCTGCTGCTGCAAGGCCATCTATCAGCTGGGGTTTTTTGGCAGCATCCCAGCCGGTGCGATTTGTAAGAACATTGTTAATAGAAAAGTCACCATTTTCGACTTCCGAGCTAAGCCATGAAGACTGGCTCGTGCCTGAGTAGGAGGGTCACATGCTACTCCTTGCTGTCCATGAGCCCCGATCCATTCCCTGCTTGCTGTTCATTCCCTCTTTGTCAGTAGCCCCGTACAGACATCCTGTGTGCATGGTTCAGTTAAGGTCGCCAAGTGAGAACTGAGCCGCAGCGGGAAACTCCCGGCTTGCGGCTGGAATGCGCACCGCATCCACGTCACCCGGAAATGACGTGGACACGCTGGGGGTGGGGCCACAACCATCCGAGGGAAAACCATAGAGTTTTCCCTCGGATGGCCAGGGTCCCGCCCCCAGCGTGCCCGGTGTGGTCGCATCACTTCCGGGTGACGTGCATGTCGGGGTAGAGTTCCCCCCGAGGCCCGATCCGGCAGTGGGGAATGGGCCTCTGGGGCGGGGAAACCGGGGGGACTTGGCAAGCCTAGGTTCAGTCACTGTGCAGGGAGAGAGAAGGGGCAAGAGCACGCTGGCCTGCCCCCCGGCCTCACCAAGTGGCCTTTACAGGGTAACCTAGGCTCACAATAGCCCTGTTGCCCACCACCCCTCGGAGCAGTGGCAGGGCAAAAAATCTTTAAGAATACCGTGAGTCTCTGTTCTGGGCGAATGTCGTAATGTGACCCCCAGGAGCTTCCCCGCATTCTCATTTCCCTCGCTTGTGTGTTCCTGGTGCTTTGGGGTTTCCTTCCTGTTCGGCATGTGCTTTGGCTCCCTCTAGTGGCCGATGTGATATTACACCAGTTCATGTCCGGGTTTAAACTGTAGGTTTTTGCGCCAGATGTAAGGCAAAGCAACGGGAACACACAAGCGAGGGAAATGAGAATGCGGGAAAGCCCCAGTGACAAAAATGCATGCATTTGGTCTCCTTGCGAGCAGAGGTCATTTCAGGGGGGATCGTGGGGGATCGCAGTTTCCCGGGGTGAGGTACGGGGGGCGGAGCACATGACGAAGCCCCGCCCCCTGCTTCCGGCCGCCCCGCTTCCGGACCTCATTCAGCCAGGAGGAGGCAGGAGAAGAGGGAGAGTAAGTTGCTTCCTCCCTGCCTCTCCCCACCCCTGCCTGCCTGGGGCCAGGGAGGGCCTTCGCAGGGCTTCCTTGCACTCCCGGCGGCCTTGCAGGTCCACCGCCGGGCCCCTCATGGGGCTCGACAGTGGAGCTGCAAGGCCAGCGGCGGCCGGGAACGTTGGGAGTAGGGTGTGTGGCCTTATGACACACTTCCGGTGATGTCAGGGGGTGTGGCATATGCTAATGAGTTATGCTAATGAGTTCCCTAGCTCTTTTTCTATGAAACGACCCCTGCTTGCGAGTAAGCCATTCCTGCCATCATTACCTGCGGCGGGGTGGGAAGAAGCAAAGTCATGGGAGACTTCACACACACACCCATCCCTAAAAATCTCCATAATGTGAGCAATGAGAGTCACTGAGGGAACGCCAGACCAAAACAGAAAAGTCGCTGGGGAGGAAATTCTATGATCTTGGTGCCACGACTGAGAAGGCCCTTTCTTAGGTTGCTGCCCACCTAGCCTCCGTTGGTGGGAGTGCCCAGAGCAGGGCTTCCAAAGATGACCATACCGGTCAGGTAGGTTCGAGATCAGCAGAAGTTACTACCATTTCATGCAGCTCCGCCACATACAAAGTTCCTTGGTCATAATAAATTAGCATAACAGGGAGCACAATGCAGACCTTTCCTCTACTTGTAGTCAGGTTGCCACCCTCCAGGTGGGACCTGGACATCTGGAATGACAACTAATTTCCAGCTGACAGACATCAGTTCCCCTGGAGAAAATGGCTGCTTTAGAGGGTGGACCCTGTGGATGGAAAAGATTGAAGGTCAAAGAAGACGGGGATGGCAAAGGATGAGATGGTTAGACAGTGTCATAGATGCAATTAACATGAAATTGAACAAACTTCAGAGGATGGCGGAAGACAGGAAGGCCTGGTGGGATCTGGTCCATGGGGTAGCGAAGAGTCGGACTCGACTGTGCGACTGAACAACAACAAAAATATCCCTCTACCCAAACCTTGCGTCCCAGCCTCCAGTTCTAACTCCTAGGACTTCTTTTAGGGATGGACGGACCACTGTTCCCTCTAAGCTGAGTTAGTGTGAGCTAGCTCACAGTTTCTTTAGCCTCCGGCTCACACATTTTTATCTCAGCTCAGGAAGGGATGGCTCCAGAACAAACTAATTTATGCAGCAGCCAAATCGCTCGCTCACAACTTTACTGCCAGTGGCTCACAGAACAGAATTTTTGCTCACAAGACTCCACAGCTTAGAGGGAGCATTGGCGACTGACCCTTCCCCTCACCAAGAGAGTTCCCAGTGGGCCCCGACCCTGGAGTGTCAGTGATCATCAAGAGCAGGGCTCTTTTTGCAGAAAAAGCCCAGCAGGAACTCATTAGCATAATAGACCACACCCCTGACAGCACAGCACATTAGCATATTAGACCACATCCATATGCCTTCCCTTGGCTTACCCGGGCAAGCCAGCCTTTGGACAGGCCGGGGAAGGCACGGGAGGCATTTAAATGCCTCCCGTGCCTTCCCCGGCCTGTCCAAAGGCTGGCTTGCCCGGGTAAGCCAAGGGAAGGCATATGGATGTGGTCTAATATGCTAATGTGCTGTGCTGTCAGGGGTGTGGTCTATTATGCTAATGAGTTCCTGCTGGGCGTGGCCAACTCTGAAGCTAGCTGGAACTCCGTCCCTGTGTGTTCCTGTCCCAAAAACAGCCCTGATCAAGAGCAAGTTGAGCAAAATAACCCCCGCAATGGCTGACCAGAGCCACAGGGCTGGGCTTCGCTCTCTCTGGGGCTTTTTAAATGGTCGGCCGAGTCGGCCTGAAGCGGTAGAACAAATTTAGAGTCCAGTGGGAGCACCTTTAAGACTAACAAAAGCTTTGTTCAAGGGATGGGCTTCCGTGGGCAAGGCACACGTCTTTAAATACACTGGAATGGAAGGTAGAGTTCAAACTTATAGACAGAGGCTGAACGGCCAATTAACATGTATACTCAACAAGAAGGATTGTACATCCTCTGCATTTTAGTGCATTTCTTTTTCAGAATAGTATATTAGAATACTGAATGTAATGCAAGGGATGTTGGGACGTTTGGCTGACACAACACTGCACCCACCTCAAAGAAGAAGAAAAATGCTGTTAAGTGACCTCCATGCCTGAGAGGAGATGAACGGAGCGTCTCAGTTTACTTCCCACCCTTAGAGAAGATCCCTTTACACATTTATCCCCTATTTTGACATATTTATTGCTCAAGTGTCCTTCCCCCCCATAATTAAATCAAAGCAACTGTTGACCTTCTAACCTTAGCTTGCTATTTAGCTTTGCATCTCTTAAAATGATTGTGTAAGTTTATAGTTCGAGAGAGAGAGAGAGCTAGGATTGTTCAAGTTGCTAATGTAAAACATAGACTTGGTCCATAGGGTGAGAAAATTAATCTATATGCAAGAGGTGGTCTAAGAGATATGATGTTGTTACCACCAGGGCTATTTTTGGGCAGGAACGCACAGGAACGGAGTTCCGGCTGGCTTCCAAGTTGGCCACGCCCAGCAGGAACTCATTAGCATAATAGGCCACACCCAACAGCAGGAACTCATTAGGATTGGCTACATTAGGGGTGTGTGGCCTAACATGCAAAGGAGTCCCTGCTACAAAAAAAGGCCCTGGGTTTTGACAACAAACAAGGTAAACAGAATAACTAGCAAAAGGTGGGTGTGGCTGGATGAGCACACTTCTGGTAACATGGGGGTGTGGCCTAATGTGCTAATGAGCTGTGCTGTCGGGGGTGTGGCCCAATATGCTAATGAGTTCCTGCTTTTGGGTGTGGCCTATTATGCTAATGAGTTTCTGCTGGGCTTTTTCTACAAAAAGAGCCCTGGTTACTACCACTCTCATGTATGTGTGTTTGTTTATATGTTTGTTAAAAACTAATAAAATTATGCACACAAAAAAATAAAACGTTTTCATCATGCCACATGTTCATTTGCTGTCTATAAGTTTGAGCTCTTACCTTCCATTCCAATGTATTTGGAAAAGTGTGCTTTGCCCACGAAAGGTCATCCCTTGAATGGACCTTTGTTGGTCTTAAAGGTGCCTGACTGGACTCTGAATTAGTTCTGCCTATATGACCAGTGTTTTTGCCGGTACGTTTTTACTATTTTCAGATTCCCTCTGTCTTTATTCCACAGCTGCTTCCAGAACTTACGAACCCGGACGAGCTGCTTTCGTACCTGGATCCCCCTGACTTACCGAGCAATAGCAACGATGACCTTCTCTCTCTCTTTGAGAACAACTGAAGCCTTCTGTGTCCTGTCCCCCGACACCTGTCACTCGTTTGACACGTCTGTAGCTTCACAGTGAGGATTCCCACAACACCCTTTCTCCCCCCACCCACCCCCACTCGCAGCTGGAGGAGACGACGGACACACGTGTTCTTCATCTCAGAACTCTCTTGCTCGTGGCAAGCTTCACAAATTGTGGGGTAGAAAGAAAGAGGATGAGAAGGCGGAGGGCCTCCAAACGCGGCCACTCCACATCACGGACTGTTTGCGCAGCTACGGAAAACCTCACTGGTTAGGTCTCGAGAGAGATAAGAGAATGAGCTTTGGGAGACGGCGTAGCATGAAGTCTCCCGGTAGAAGTCAGTCTCACCAAGAGAAGAAACGGCAACAGAACTATTCTAAGCAACCGGTTTCAGAATTCCCTTCCAACTGTGTTCTTCCATGCGTTTCGTTGGGTTTCTTTTTCCTTTACGGTGTGGTGTCCGTTCCAATGTGTTCGCTCTCCCTCCCCCTGTCTGTACATTTGGGTCAGACGGAATAAGGACAGGATTTATTGGGTGATGCCTTCAGACCAGCCAAACAAACTCAAACCACAAAACACATACCAAAAAAGCACAAAAAAACCCTTTATAAAGATGTCACAACTAAGATAAAAACACAAAACACATCAAAGGGGAGGCGTGTATTCCTCAGATGGTCATTTCTGTGTGATGGAAAAGTCCCGCGAATCCCTGGGCTGCGGCAACGGTGGTTCTTTCTAATCTGTAGCAATTTTTTTAAAATCTTGCAGGCCAGGTAGCCTCTTTGCTCCAACACAGAGACCTGGAGACTTGGGGTTTTTTTTCTTCTTCTTCTGTATGTCTCTTTCCCCTTTTTCTTTCTTACGGGGTTTGGTTTCAAAGAACCAACCTGTTTGCCATCATGTTACATGGGAGGGAGGGGTTTGACTCAGATTCCCATATGAAACTATGAAACGTTGGATGTCACTGAGAGCTTTTCTTAATCTGTGCACTAAGGCAGTCTTAGCCGGGGGGGAGGGGGGAAGCTAGGAAAGTATGAAAGGAGCTCAGCCAGATGGCGAAATAACTGCTCCCAGGTTGGCTTGAAAGAGGCATTTGCAGTGGGAGGAAGCGCCTGGTATCTGACGAAGGGGACCTTGACTCTTGACACCTTCTACCCCACGCGTCTCGTTGTTGGTCCCTAAGGTGCTACTGAACTCAACTCTAGCTGCCCTACACCTCCCCAGAGTTGTTTTCTTTCTGTTTCTCAGATTGTGACATGGAATTCGGCCTTTTCGGGGTGTTTTTCCCCCCCAGGTTTGTTGTATTTTTTAGCTGCCAGGACTGTTTTATATATATTATTTTTCCAAGGACAATGGGGACCGGAAGTGTAAGTCCCTTTGGTACCACAGTAACACAGCCTCTCCCGCCACAGTGCTTCCGTGGTCTTTGTGCTTCTCATGTGGTCTCCCCCCCCCCGCTGCATGAGTTTCCTGTTTCTCCCAGGCCCGTTTCTGCGCTCTTGGTCATTCTCTCGTATAAATGATGTATAGTATCTGTATGTCAAGACGGTGCATGTGTGCCAACTCCGCCCTGGCGGGCCGACATTTCATCTTCTGCCCACCGTGTGCAAATCTTGTTTTCTCTGTGAATAAAAAAAGAAAAAAAAGAAAAGTCCTTGATGGATTCCTTTCCCGTCCAGAAATCAGATCAACTATATCCCATGTTTGGTTTCCAGCAGTCGGCTTTCCATTTCGTGCCTGATGGAACTCATGCTTGTCGGTTTCTGTGTGTAAGCTCCGCCCACCTTGCCCCCCCCGTGAATGGCGTGACCCGTGCATTCCATTCCCGACTCGCTCTCGTCACCAAAGTCATGCTTGTAAATTCTTTGCGTATTTTGTTTCTAGCATCTACCGCCACAGCTGTATATGCATCTTGTTATATATATATACTAGTTCACAGCACTTTGCTGTAGATATTACAAGAAATGGCAGTTTTAGTTCCTCTATTTTCCAGTAGGGAGTGCTGAATTTGTAAAACATTTTATGTAGAGATGTTTTGACACTTACTTTTCTCCCCGTTCCCCCTTTTATTGAGGTTTTGTTTTTGTTTGTTTCACAAGAAGCGCTGTTCATTATGCAAAAATCAATTATTTTAAGAAACTGCTATTGTAAATACCTTTTGTGAATATTTTAGTATCGTCTTTGATAATAATATTCAACATTTTCCTGATCTGGTTCTACTTGTGTTTTAAAATGCATAGTCTTTGTGGGGGGAGTGTAGGTCCTCTTCTGTTTGTTTGTTTTTTTAAGGGTTCTTGGATTGATGGAGTCGTTTCTTTTTTTCCTTTTGACAAATTACACCCCCCCCCCCATTTCTTAATCCAGTTTAATGGATCTGGCCAATGTCCTGAACTGCCCGGAAAAGAAATTGTCACAATCAAGGATATCACCTTGAGATTCTTTTCTTCTGAGATTCTTTTCTTTAGTCAGACAACAAAAAGGTAACTTTTAGTCCAGTGTATGATTTTTGTGTCTTGTACACATTACAAAGGATCTTGGTTACTGAACACCCAAGGAACGATGGGGTGTCACAGTGGTGGTGGGTTTTCCAGGGGACACTGAAGTCTAGAGCTTCCTCTTATTTCAAGTGCATTCTGGGGGGCCCTGTAGCAGCTTCCTCCTGCTGCTTCTGTCATATAAGCATTGGATCCGTTTGTGTGGGCAACTACAGGTCAGTAGCCATTGGCTTTAAGCCGAGTGGCAACCAGCTAACCTGATCACAGCCATCAGGGTCTCAAAAGCCAACCGTTTTCACAGCCTGCCTCTCCAAAATCAGGCAAGTTAACATGCGTCTGGCAATTTGTCCAGGCCTATTTTAAGCCATATACCGTATCTTGCCTGTTCAGATTTTAGCACCCATTTCATAAAGCTGCTCCTCTGCTATCGGGCAAGCATCTAGGCTCGTGACGATTTTTTTCCTTTTAATTTGAACTGAAACAAAACCATTTCGAAACGGGCGTGTTGAGGTTGGGTGTTCTGCTGGTGGCAATGTGAATGCGCCATGTGCAAGAGGAGGAAGAAAAAGAGATACCCCCATTTAGTATGCTTGGTCTAAGCCCAGGGTAGCTGGATCTCATCAGATCTCAGAAGCTAAGCAGGGTCGGCCTTGGTTAGTACTTGGATGGGAGACCCCCAAGCAAGTCTAGAGTCTGGACACAGAGGCAGGCAATGGCAGACCACCTTTGAACATCTCTTGCCTTGAAAACCTTACGGGGTCGCCACAAGCCGCCTGTCCCTTGACAGTACTTTCTGCTACCACCATTGTTAGAGGAAGAAGAGATTGGATTTATACCCCGCCCTTCACTCGGGGTCTCAGAGCAGTTTACAATCTCCTTTCCCTTCCCCTCCCCACAACAGACACCCTGGGAGGAAGGTGGGGCTGAGAGAGCTCTGACAGAAACAGCTCTTTTTCAAGAACAGCTGTGCCAGAGTTATGGCTTGCCCAAGGTCATCCAGCCAGGTGCAAGTGGAGGAGTGGGGGAATCAAACCCGGCTCTCCCAGATTAGAGTCCACGCACTTATCCACTACACCAAACTGGCTGTTTGGCTTGCAGCGGTATGCATGGTTCTTCCATCAACATGACAACCGGTTGAGCTCTGCGGCAGAAAGGGTCATTGAGCCCTGATCTACCACAACCCCAGCCAGAGACTCCAACCACTACACCATACTGCCTCGCTCTCCATAACATCCCATCGTTGAAAGTTTCCCCACACACACACAGTAACCAAGTTCAATGCCCATTTTAAAAACTGTAGACTGTATGTGTAAAAGAATTAGATCTGTAGCAAGGGGGCATGATGCTGACCAGATATAAGGGCTATCTTAGCTGGGTTAACGTCACATAAGAGCAGTTGCCAGGGTCCGGCTGTGCATTTCCTCCATGTTGTATCAAAGGGTATATTTATCTAAGGGAGAACCATAAGAAATTAGCCCAGAATGCGCTATTCCCATCAGCAGTTACTCACCATCAGGTCATTAAACCCCAAGATCTGTTTCAGAGAATCTGACACCGTTCATTTGTAATCTGCTCACTGCCAATCCCTTAGAATGAAGTGAAACCCTATGGGACAATATGGAGTTCTATTGTGTTTGAGTGACAGAATTCTATTCCCAAAGCATTTTATTGTTGTCGTTATTCCTTTGTTTTGGAGGCGTTTTGGTTTGGCCTTTTTTATTGTTTCCCTATAGATGCCCACCTGGAAAAGAACCCTCAGAGATTTATAATTCTACTGCCAAGACATAATATTACTATTATTATTATTATTATGGGATAATGAAAACACATTAATGTCTGCAGTGGAGGCTCCAGGGACATCTGTACATATGTAAATGGCAAATAGAGACATGTTAACAGAAATGCATTCATTTTCCTTGGAATGTGCATTTGTTTTTATTTTGCAGAGACAAAAAAATGAAGCTTGAAGATCCATCTTATGTGGGAAATGAATCCTGTTTGTTAGCGTTTGTGAAGTCTCCACGTTTGTTTCACTTCTTGTAATATACTCTGGAAATCCTTTGTGGAAACAATTTTTTCCCTTGCATTTTTTGTTTGTTTTTGTTTTACCTTCATGTAATAATTAGCTTAATGTGTACTAGTCTTATCACCTGTGTATTTTTAGGGTGCTACAAAAAATAATGAAGAAAATAAGGGGATTAAATAAAAAAAAGATTGTAACCAAATTCATACTTTGTACAATTTTTTGATATTGTGATCAGAGGAGAATTTTAAAAAAAAGTACAATCTGAAGTTACCATGCAAAAATGGCCATTGTTCTTGTTTGTACATTGTATGTACAGTACAATGCAATCATTTCATACTTTAAAACTGGTCAGAAAAAAAATAATTGTGATTTTTAGTCTTGCAAAACTGTATGTAGTTAGATGATGTGACAACCTAATATTTATCTAATAAATATGTATTCAAATGAAACCTGTATATTAGGTGTTCATGTGGTTATTTTGTATTTAAAAAAATAAATCAGATTGACTATTGCTAGACATTTATATACTTCCTTGTAACACTGAAAGTACTCTCATTTTTGCTCATGTTATTATTTTTTTCCTAAATAAATTTGGAAAACTTATGGATGGTCTAATGGACAGCTCTTTTGTAAATCTGAATTTTCTACTTACTGCAAAAAAAAGAGGGGGGGAAATCTTGGGGTTTTGGTATGATGAATTTATTCTTCGAACCTGGTGGAGAGGATCTAACAGGAAGTTAGATAACATAAATCTCTGGATATGACCATTCTCTGTCCTGCACTTATGCATTAAGGAAAGGAGGTACCATTTTTCTAACAGCTGCCAAAGTGGTTTACTCTGCAACCTTCTGATCCTGTTGACTTCAATGGATTTAGAAGGATGTAACTCTGCTCAGAATTGCACTGCTGTTCTAGTTCAAGAACCTTTGGGATGATAAAGCGGCGGCTATCATTGAACTGTAGTAACTCCCAACCCAATGGATCTTAGGGGTTCAAAACATTAAAAAGTTCCATCATCATCTATATATCTAATAGCCAAGCCGCCCCTGTGCATGCGGATACCTAAATCCGCGCATCGGGGGCACCTGGGGGGGAGGGAAATTTTCGTGCACACTTGGAGCAGTCCCCAGGTGTGCACAAAAATCTTAAAAGTTAAAAAAAATATCGGGGGATACTTAAATCCCCCCAAAAGTGACAAAGCGTCCCCTATGCATGCGCAGGGAACGCTCTGCAGCCGGCCTCGCCACCGCCTCGGAGCCGGGCGGGGGGGAAGCGGTGAGGCCCGGCAACCACAAGCTGCATGGACTTCGCTTTGCAGCCGGGGGGGAGGGGAAGCGGCGAGGCCCAGCGGCTATAAGCCGTGCGGGTCTCGCTTTGCAGCCGGGGGGAAAGCGGCGAGAAGCCAGGGGAACGGCGGTGGAGGGACCATTAAAGGTTAAGAAAACCCCAAAATCATAAGTAAGCCCTGTAAAATGTGCATTTATTATTAGAATGTTTATGGCCTGTCTTTCCATGTATAGTGGCTGCTGGTCTAGGAACACTGCCCTCTATGGAAGTTGGGTGGGAAGTTGCTTAGCAGAGGAGGACCTTTTGGGGCTTCTGCTGTGAGGGGAACTATTTTCCAGGCTGAAAAGAAAGGGAGACTTTTCCAGACCTTTCCAGGGTTTTATAGGTTGGAGCCGGAGGCTTATTTCTCACCCCCATCCCATTCAGTCTCTTTTATTTTTCCTCCGTTTTGTTGAAGCTTCTGGTTCTTTACTCCCTGTTTTATTTGAATTTAAATGAAAGCTATTTGTTTTACTTTAGTTCAGGTTATTGAAAAGGGGACCTCCACAAGAGTGTGACGGCTTGCTTGGCCTTTTCAAGTCTAAAAGGGTTACACGTAGAAAGAGTCCCCTTTTTAAAGAGAAGTATGCCACAAAGATCTCTTTTTAAAAAAAATAATTTGTATGTATGTATTTAGGAGCTGCGGTGGCTCAAGTGGTTAAGACGCTGAACTGCAGGCTGTGGAAGGTCAGTAGTTCAGCAGTTCGAGACCCGAGTGTGCCGCATGACGGAGTGAGCTCCCGTCTCTAGTTCTAGCTCCTCCCAGCCTAGCAGTTCGAAAGCAAGAAATTGCAAGTAGATAAATAGGTACCGTTTCGGTGGGAAGGTAACAGTGTTCCGTGAGCCTTGGTGTTTAGTCATGCTGGCCACATGACCATGGAAATGTCTTCGGACAGTGCTGGCTCTTCAGCTTGGAAACGGAGATGAGCACCACAACCCTAGAGTCAGATTCGACTGGCTTTTGAGCAAGGGAAACCTTTACCTTTACTACGTATGTATTTAAAGGCATTGATATTAGACTTGTTCATTGCCTCCGCAGTGTTCATTTGTTTTTGACGATTGGCACACCGTGTTTTCCCCTCGTTTTGTGTGGAGGTTGGCAGCCAATGGCTGAGGATTCCAAGCCTTGGATGCAGGGCGGGGAGAGACTTAAAAAAAAACCCATAAAAGATAGGAAGAAGAGATGGTAAAGCTGGAGGGGGGAAGAGACA